CAATGTATCGTGTGTACGTATGCATGTAGCGTATGTGACGTATGCTGTACGATGTACGTATGGCATGTACGTTATGTACGTATGTGCGTATGTACGTACGCACGCACGCAGAAATACGCACGCACAGAGGCTCGACCCGCATGTATCGTATATATACGTATGTATGTATGTATGCTATGTAAGTACGTACGTAACGTACGTACGTACTAACGTAGGTAAAATGTATGTATCGTAGTATAGTATGTATGTATGTCTGTATGTAGTATGTATGTATGTATGTATGTTATGTATGTATGTATGTATCGTATCGTATGTATGTATCGGTATGGTTATGTAGTATGTATGTAATGTCTGTATTGTAATGTATGTAATGTATGTATGTATGTAGTATGTATGTCATGTATGTCTGGTATGATGTATGTATGTATGTATGTATGTATGTAATGGATATGGTAGTAGTATGTTATGTATTATGTTATGTATGTATGTATGTATGTATGTATGTTCTGCTATGAACATGTACGTAGTACGTACGCGCGCACGCACGCGACGCACGCGTGCGTATTTCTGCGTGCGTGCGTGATTAATGTATGTATGTATGTATGTATTATGTGTGTATGTACATACATAACACGCACGCACGCACGCAACGCACGTAACGTACGACATGATTCATGCCATACATACAGTACATAACATACAGTACATACATACATACAACATACTACATTACATACAACATACATACATACATACATACATACATACATGACATACATAGCATACATACATACGTACGTAGCGTACGTACGTACGTACGGACGTACGTACGTACGTACGTATGGGGTACGTACGTACTTACATACATACATACATACTACGTATAATCCGATCCATGCGTTCGCGCTGCGTGCGTATTTCTTGCGTGCGTCGTAACGTACATACGTACATACGTACATGCATACGTACATACGATACATGCGTTCGAGCGTGCGTGCGTATTTCTGCGTGCGTGCGTACGTACATACGCACATACGTACATACGTACATACGATACATGCGTTCGAGCGTGCGTGCGTATTTCTGCGTGCGTGCGTACGTACATGCGTGCGTACGTGCGTACATGCGTGCGTGCGTACGTACATGCGTGCGTGCATGCGTGCAAGCGTGCGTGCGTGCGAGCATGAGTGCGTGTTTCTGTGTGCGTTCGTACTTGCATGCGTGCTAGCGTGCGTGCGTATTTCTGCGTGCGTACGTACGTGCATGCGTGCGCGCGAGCGTGCTTGCGTGCGTGTTTCTGTCTGCGTTCGTACGTACACGCGTGCGAGCGTGCGTGCGTATTTCTGTGTGCGTGCGTGCGTGCATGCGTGCGTGCATGTGTGCGTGCGCGCGCGCGTAACTGTTTGTGTGTGTGTGCGCGCGCGCGCGTGTGTGTGTTTGCGTGCGTGTGTGTTTGCACATGCATGCAAGCGTGCGTGCGTGTGCATGTGTGTTTGCACGTACATGCGTGCGTGCGTGTTCGTGCGTGCGTGCGTGCACGCGTAACTGTGTGTGTGTGTGTGTGTGTGTGCGTGCGCGCGCGTGTGTTTGCGAGTGCATGCGTGCGTACGTGCGTGCGCGTATGGGAGATCAATGGACCGACCGTGGTGACATCTAGCGACATAATTAAAATTGATAGACTTCTGATACAATGCATATACGCCGCCAGCGAAGAAATCATCACTTACACTGCCCTAACCCCGCCAAATAATAGGATGGCCGATGAGATCTTTTCTTGGCGAATCTAACTGCTGGTAAATGACGTATAATAGCCACTAATATAAATCGGCTAGGGAGTAGGGTCGTATGGGATGAAATGAACAAGGTGAAAATTAAAAAAAAGTATGTATACCCGCCGTACTACCGCACGTATGTCGCCGCGTACGGATTTCCACGTTTCAACATTTTGTAAACGCGCGAAAACTTGTAAATCTGAACGATGACAACTGTTTACATGTGATTTCATTAAAAACTACTCCGGCCCTCTCTAATCACATGTTCCACCCCCATATATATATATATGTTCCACACCCATATATATTTTTTCTTTAGCTGAACATAATTGATTCATAATAACATAACTTTTAGAATCGCTATTGATAGTATTGATAGAATCGCAATGTTTTTCACAGATAAAAATTTATTAATCAATATACTTATTATAACACTTAAGAGGACATAGACCCTATGAGCACTACTAGTACTCAGGCGCAGATTTAGGCCAGTTTGCACCGGTTTCCAGAAACCGGTCACAGTCTGGGTATCTTCAGAATTGACTCTCAAAATTCACTAGAGTGCACCAAATATAGCCTCATTTTTTTTAAATTCACCCCTCGAGCTGTGACTAGAACTATGGAAACTGGTCACCCAAACCCTCTGGATCTGCTCCTGGTACTACTACTACTACTACTACTACTACTAGTAGTATAGTACTACTAGTACTAGTATTAGTATAGCCCCAAGTTCCGGCCATCTTGCTTAACACTACATGGCGAGATGGTCACAGACCGACGCATTAGAATTTTGTTCGGTAGCACGTGCGCTGCTATTTAACATTAAATTATTTCACTTTTTATGATTCTTACAGCTTATCTGTACTTCCACGCCTCGATTTATTATATGTGCGCTATCACCGAGCATGTACTTACATGTCAGCGAGTAATTGTTTATAAATTGATCAGATAAAACTCAAAAAACGCCGCTATTTCCCCATAGATATCCCATAATAAGTAGCGTAAGTTCGTGAATTTTTGCGTACAAAAAGAGACATAAGAACAACCAGAATGGCGTTTTACAACGTTCAAATAATATAGCTGCAGTGTAGCGAGAGTTGCAACATGTAACAGGTGAGGTCAAATGTGGTAATACACTGTAACTGTTTTATTTACGAAATTCGTAGTTTGTTTTCAAGCTACCAGGCATTTCGTATGGAAGGGTGTCAGGCTCCTCCGCCGTGTAACAGTCGGAGAGCCTGGTCGGTTTAGTAGTACTAGTACTACTATTACTACTACTACTACTCAGTGTTGTAACATGTCAAGTCACTGACTCCGACGCGAGGCGATTCAAATCGCAGTTTCTTGTGACTCGACTTGACTCGAGTCGGGGAACCCGAAATGACTTGACTTGACTCGAGTCACCACTGAAAATAACTTGACTTGACTCTGACTCGAGTCAATATCGCAGGTCAATATCAGCCAAAGAACAGGACTCGAGTCGCCGTTTGATGACTCTAATGCTTCTAAGTTATAGCTAGTGCATGCAACCACAAGATTAATTACATCAAGAGTCCATAATAGAAATTAGCTAAAAATCATGACAAATACTATTACAGATTAAACAATATTTTGTTACTTGCTAATATTTATTTATTAAGTTTAATCTGTTTTTAGCTCATCTGAAGTAGTCAGATGCAGCTTGTAGAATCGCATGATCGTGCGACCGTCATGCGTCCGTTCGTCCGTCCGTCAACACTTGGGCACAAATCTTAACCGTTCGACGTACGGTCACGATATTCGAGACGTGGAGGGGGGGGGGTAATCCGAAAACGAGTTGGGATGTCGAAGCTGGTGGTCAAGGGTCAAAGGTCAAGAGGTGTATAAGAAGGGGAAACATTTCCTCCTTAACTTAAGGTATAGGGAGGAAATGCAGAATTGCGGCACAAATCTAAACGGCTGGATCTAGGCTTGTGATAGTTGGTGTATAGCATCATAGTAGGAAAAGCCATTACTGTGCCGAAATTGGAGGTCACAGGTCAAAGGTCAATGGGGCAGAGGGCAGATTCTGAGGACATTTTTCGACAGAGCGATAGAAAAACTTTTTTGTTTCAGCGGTGACCTACCATTTTTATAGCTTTATTGAAATGACCGTGAAATGTACTTTCCGCTGACATGCGAAGAGTCTGGTTTCTACGTAAATAAATCAATCGTATTACCACATTTGACCTCACCTGTTACATGTTGCAACTAGAGTCCCTATATACAGAGAGTAGCGCCAACTCAGGATTTGACTCCATGTTGTTTCCAAATGTATCAACACCGCTGCCGCTTAAGTACAGCGCTGTATGGATACGCTGTACAATGGTCCGTAGTAATTAATTAGACTAATCGTGTTTCAATAAACTCAAAAATTACAGAGATTATAGATAACACATGTGTTTATATGTATCTAGATTTCTAGAAAAGTAACTCAAATCGTTCGCGCCATAATGAATAGCTTAATTGTACACTTTCTTAGTGTAAACACAGCAGCTAGTCACTGTAATTCACAAGATAAATGCGTTCCACTCTCCACTCGCTCGTAGCTGTAATATTTGTTTTGCAGTTCTATAAATCTAGCTACACATAGACACATGTCTTAGCTATAATCTCTGTAAATTTGAGTTTATTGAAACACGATTAGTCTAATATATTTACTATGGACCATTGTACAGCGTATCCATACAGCGCTGTACTTAAGCGGCAGCGGTGTTCATCCACTTGGAAACAACATGCCGGCAGCGATCACGTGACAGATTTTTTCCGACTCGTCATGGCGCTACTCTCTGTATATAGGGACTCTAGTTGCAACTATCGCTACACTTCTTAATTACTATTTACCTTGAAATACAAGTTAAAATAAGATAATGCTCAGTGATAGCGCACATATAATAAATCGAGGCGTGGAAGTACGAAAGCGGTAAGAATCAATAAAAGATTAGATAATATTACGTTTAATAGCAGCGCACGTCATGCCGAACAATATTCTATTGCGTCGGCTTGTGAACCTCTCGCCAACGTAGTGTTAAGCGAGAAGAGAACTTGTGGGTACTCTCTGCCCAAACTTCGTTCCTTCCGAACTCTTCATTTGTTTATTCATCGTTTATATTCAACCTATTATTCCTCACAGTTCATTCTGGCTACCAGGCAGTAGCACGCGAAGGATGGAGCGTTGGGCTGACCTCCGCCCATGCTCTGTTTGTCAGCGTACAAGAGGGTGACTCGTGGAAAGCAATGCATCATTTGTGGGGCTGAAGATCCCCCAATAAGATGCACAGATTGCAGCTATTCGAGCAACTATACTGCACTGGTTGCTTTGAAACGGCCCACTTGCATCTAACGCTGCTTGTTGCATGCTTATTACTGGAAGGTATAAATATTACGATAGTGGTATCTACCTTAAAACAAATGCATGACGTGTTCATTAAGCTCTAAAATATCGTTGATGTACAGACACTGTACTAGAGTTAGCACATATTTTGCCCAATACTTTGAGTAGTGTAATATGTATATATAAAGAAACAGCTAACTTCAGATTACTATAGAAACAGTGATGAGTTGATGAATGTCATATGCTATAATATGTCTTATTACGTATGTAATGCTTTGCACTCTATATTTTATTATATTTTTAGAATGGAATGTTCACGCGATATGACACCAACAGGGTGGAAGTGTGGAATTGAGATGTGGACCACACCTGCACATCAGGCTACCCCTAGGGTTGTTAAAGTTGTCGATGCGAGAGGTAAAATAGAATGTAGAAGACTTATTAATTGTACGTTATAAAGCCATTAATTAAGTTGTATCTACCAAAGATGTTTGTAGACAGATATATAGTTTCTTTCCAGCACATAACAATGCATTTGCTGAAAACTATACTAAGCTCATTGTTAAAACCACATCTTGGCTGTTAGTATTACGCATCACAAAAGAAATGACCCCCGACCACCGTGGGGCACTACTAGATGATGCTTCACTACTCAGAATACCTCAGGAACCAAATGGGTATACACAGTATATACTGTAATCTTGTGCTCAGTTGTACAGTTTAGGTTTAATGATCCTGAAATGAAGGCATGATCTATCTTCATGATGGTTTCCAGAAAATAAATAATGTATCAGCCATTTTAACCAAAGACCACTAATTTAAAGTAAAATAGTTGGCCATAATTACTTGTATAAATATGAGCCATTTTCTAGCTATAACTATATATTCTAAAAACGTGAATTGCTGTTCAAGCTGTTAGTTCATACATTATAGGAGAAACGCTGATGCATCGCTACATAAAAGTGCAGACAACCAGGAGTAACTGTGATCAGGAACTTGAGCAGCTAACGTCAAGCTTGTCAGGTTGGACATTTTAATATCTGTTATGTTTGTTATACTTTTTTTCCAAACAGTTTATTATTTCTGGTTTTATGATACTATACATGGTGTGTATACTCTATTATGTTTAAAGTTATTGAATTACTATGAAGTGAAGCAAATGAAGTGAAATGAGAGATTACAGAGACAGTGATACACAAATGGACTCCTTTTTTCACTTTACAGAATCCATCCTCATGCTGCTAGTTGAGCTGCGACCACCTCACAGTGAAGACCTTTTGTTGGGGATTCGCATCCATGTTCTTTAAATGGAAGACACTTACTTGTGTTTTCCCGAGATCGGCACCTATATGGTTATTAATGTCCTTATATTAGCTGTAATCTAAGCTGTAATCTCGTCTTGGTTTTTGTACTAACCAGAGCAATTATTGCCTTAAAATATGTATGCCTCTAATCTGTGCACATAAATATCGGTGCATATAAGTTGTATTGTTTTTGCAGTTGTCAGATACAAAAGTGTTATTATTTCAACAAGTGCGTTCATCTTAAGTGTTATAATAAGTATATTGATTAATAAATTTTTATCTGTGAAAAACATTGCGATTCTATCAATAAGTGTTATTATTTCAACAAGTGCGTTCATCTTAAGTGTTATAATAAGTATATTGATTAATAAATTTTTATCTGTGAAAAACATGCGATTCTATCAATAATGTTATTATTTCAACCAAGTTGCGTTCATACATTAGTAGTTTAAAGTCTATTGATTTAATAAATTTTATCTGTGCAAAAACATTGCGAATTCTTCAATACTATCAATAGGCGATTCTACAAAGTTATGTTATTATGAATCAATATGTTCAGTCTAACAGAAAAAAATTATATGGGTGTGGAACATATATATATATATATATATAATATACTATGGGGGGTGGAAACATGTGATTAGAGACAGGGCCGATAGTTTCTAATGAAATCACATGTAAACAGTTGTCATCGTTCAGATTTACAAGTTTTCGCGGGCGTTTACAAAAATGTTGAAACGTGGAAATCCGTACGCGCGCCATACGTGCGGTAGTACGGGCGGGTAAACCATACTTTTTTTTAATTTTCAACGTTGTTCATTTCATCCATACGACCGCTACTCCCTAGGCCGATTTATATTAGTGGCTATTATACGGTCAATTTACCAGCAGTTAGATTCGCCAAGAAAAGATTCTCATCGGCCATCCTATTATTTGGCGGAGGTTAGGGGCAGTGTAAGTGATGAATTTCTTCGGGGCTGGCGCGTATATGCATTTGTAACTCAGAAGTCTATCAATTTTAATTATCGTCGGCTAGATGTCAGCAGCGGTCCGTCCATTGATCTCGCCATGACGCGCACCAGCACGTACGCACGCATGCACTCGCAACACACGCGAGCCGCACCACACAGGCCACACAGCACACACACACCACACACACAGTTACGCGTGCAACGCACCAGTCGCACAACACGCACGCACGCATGTACGTGCAAAACACACATGCACACGCACGCACGCTTGCATGCCATGTGCAAACACACACGCACGCAAACACACAACACGGCGCGCCGCGGCGCGACACACACACAAACAGTTACGGCGCGCAGCCCGCAACGCACACACTGCACGCACAAGCATGCCCGGCAACAGCACGCAACACAGAAATAGCGCACTGCACGCTCGCACGGCGTGTACGTACGAACGCAGACAGAAACACGCACGCAAGCACGCCGCGGCGCACGGCATGCACGTACGTACGCACGCAGAAAATACGCAACGCAAACGCCTAGCACCAGTGGCAAGTACGAACGCAACACCAGGAACATCGCACTCCGATGCTCGCAACGCACGCATGCACAGTTCGCCGACCGCACAGCTTTGCACGCATGGCAAGGCACAGCATGTACGCTAACGCAGCACGCATGTACGTGCACGGTACGACGCATGTACTGTACGCACGCACGGCAGAAATTACGCACGCACAGCTCGAACGCAATGTATCGTATGTACGTATGCATGTACGTATGGTAACGTATGCATGTAACGTATGNCACACACACACACACACACACACACACACACACACACACACACACACACACACACACACACACATTTCATTATATTACATTTAATTACTATATACGAACAGTAATACAATAGGAGAGCTAAAAACACATATTATCGCGATTATCACATTCTTACTATTAATTCAGTAATTAGTAATATTATTAGCTAAATAAAGTTTAGTAATTAATATTACCCGGCTCTGATACAGTGATGCAAATCTCAATGCCGACATGATCACTCACAACTACGCCCATTGCTCATTTATTTTCCCAGATATTTTGTCATAA